GGGGAAACACAGGCAACATGGGCAAGTCGAGATCGTGGGACAGATTGTCACCCAATTTAATGGAGGCAGGGGGTTCCAATGCATGGTGGCAGTGGCAGCAGGCAGAGACAGGGCAAGTGATCACAACACATCATGCAGTTTTCTGTGTTGCAGCTGCAGGCAAGCCAAGAGATGGTAGGAGAGACTGACACCCAATTTAATGGAAGCAGGCAATTCCAACACATGGCAGCACCAGCAGCAGGTAGATGCATGAAGGAGGAGGCAGGATATTCTGATGCACGTCAGAGTCACCTGCCTTTCCCCCACTCCTTTGCCTGATGCTAGTGCCATTGCAGGTCCAAATCTCTTGTCTCCATTAAATTGTCAATCCATCAACTCTTGGCTTGCTCACAGCTACAACACAGGCGGCCATGAATCACGTTGGGATTGCCTGCTCTTTCCCTCCATGTCTCTGCCTGCTGCCTGTGGCACCTCGTGTTGGAATCACCTACCTCCATTAAATCAGATGTCAATCTGTCCCACTGTCTCTTGGCTTATAAAACTGCAAGGAGGGCTGAGCCAGAGATCACAATGCTGGGACTCACCTGCACTACACAGGATGTGGTTGCTGCCGTACACCATCTTCGCCCTTGTGTTCAACACCTTCTGTGCCCGACAAACCCACCCACCCTACCCCTGCTGAAGATCTTCACTGGGGCTTATTTTGGGAGGGGGTAGGGCTTATATTAGGAGCATGCTAAAAACCAGACTAGGGCTTATTTTCTAGTTGGGCCTTGTTTGTGGTGAAACACGGTATGCTTCCTTTCCTCATCAGGCAACACTCTGCTTTCCTTTTCGTCTATAGCCATTGTGCTGCATACAATACAAAGTGCCCGGGGATTTTGCTCCATTCAAATAGGCTGATTATAAAATTGAAGACACTTATGATACCAATTAAAGATTCTTAACAGACCACTAACATCCAATGATGCATTTGAACTTCTAATGAGTACTAGTAAGTATGCCCATGCCGTTTTCATTTTATTATAAGAATATGCTAAGTCATACATCAAAATCGAAGCATCTACCTTTGGGACAGTGGACTACAGATTAGCAGATGCCATTTCCTTGTATCAGTTTCAACTTATTTCATGGAAACTGGTGACTCTTAAGAAAAAAAGCAGAGGGTATCAATACTTTTGGCCACATATGTATATAAAGAAATTTTAGTAAACTATTCTAGATCTTCCTAGAATGGAAAAATAGCAATACTGGGAGCAGCTCCATCTGGAGAAATGGCTGCATGTATTTGCATGATAAGTATTTTCTAATTTAGCTTTTGTGAAAGGATTTCTGTATGATTTAACCACATCAACTAATGTGTCATATTATAGGATTTTCTAATATTTGTTACGTTCACTCCTTGTCGAGCACAATATAAGTGCAACATAATGAAAAGTTCGGCTACAGTTTTTCAGCTTATTTTTTTAAGTCTTCTTTAAAGACTGTATACAACACATTAAAATCTGAGAATCTTAAAAAAAAAAGACAACATAACAATATGACAGTTACAAGAAATCCTATGTGTTTTACTCCAAATTATTTTTTTTCCTCACAACCATGTTAATGTGTGTCTGCCCTTTCTTGACAGAGAAGAAAAGTAAGCTAGTACAAATTCAGTTGGTTTTATCAGGTACTGCCACAGGAACAAGAGTAACATTGGTGCTGTTCTGATTTTAATGTAGGGAATTAAAGGAAAATGATTGGTGGGTTCTTCTGACTTCGTTTCTGCTCATTAAGCATCATCAGTAACTGGAAAAAAAACTAATTGCTTTCCTTAAATGTGGAGGAAAAGGTTGTGGCAAAAACAGGTGCTCATTCAATAGATTTAGCCACCTTTCCAAGTCATGGGCCACAAGTGCGAAACTGCTTTGCAGCTGATATTAGTGATAACAACTAATTTTGGATTTAACATGATTTTAAGACATTGCTGCAAAAACAAAACTGTTGTGCATTTTATACAGAAGCCTCCAAATCCTTCAATCTTCTGCCTAAATTCTTGGATCTTAATAATTATCATTCACTTATAAAGCCATTTTCTTAGTTTAAATAAAATCTTAACAAGAAACTTGCATTTTAGTCCTTTATATAGTTTATTTTATTTAAAATTGAAATTTTAAAATTTTAGTCCTCCTTTAGTGACTACAATTAGGAAAATTAGGACTGTCAATTTGGTCACCAAGTAGAAAATTACGTGACTGTGACTGGTATGATTATGCAGTACTTCCCCTTCAGTTAAGTGAAGTAAAGCAGTGACTAAGTGAATAATCATATGCCTGCAATGTATTATACTTTGAACTTCCAAAGTCAATTTCTTTTATCTTTCAAGAACTGAACATTTTTAACGAAATGAGTAAAAAATTGGACTTTACAATTACAGTATAGTAAGCATTACTATCAGTCATTCAAAATTAGTATTTTCTTGTGTTTTTAGAAAAGTTGGATATATTGGGATAGCTAGCTGAGGATTGTCTCAATCTTCTATTCCTCTAAATGAGGAGTGGGTAGAGGAAGGAATTATAGCCATGGAAGGAGTAACTTTCTTAAAGAACTGATGAATTTTGGTTTGCACAAGTTTTTTTCTTTTTTTCTTCATATATTTCATGATAACACTTTAAGATTTTATGCATATCCTGATACACCTTTCCAAAATGTTCTACATTTGGATCCATACTTTGTAATTTTGATAAACTTTGGTTAATGCCCAAGAAAACACCAGCTAATGCTTTCACATTGAACTTTTTGGGCTGAATTTCTACATGTTTTTCCTTCTCCTCCTCTGGTTGTTCTTCTGGTTCCTCCTCTTCTTCTTCTTCCTCCTCTTTTGGTTTCTCCCCCTGTGGTTCCTCCTCCTCTTCTGGTTCCTCCTCTGGTTCCTCTTCTGGTTCTTCCTCTGGTTCCTCCTCCTCCTCCTCCTCTTCCTCTTCTTCTTCTTCCTCCTCCTCCTCTTCTTCCTCCTCCTCCTCTTCTTCTTTGACCCTTCGTGCTTCCAATTCTTCTTTCAGTTCGATTAAATCCTCATTTGAAAGTTCTCCCTCAGTGTAGGTTATCAAACTTTTCACATCTTCAGCATTGACTTCTAAATCAAGGGATTTCACAAGTGTCAAAATTTCCTTATTTATTTCATCCAAATCTTTGTTATGGTCAAATCCTTGAAAATTATTTACCAGAACAGGGTAACATTTTAAACACTTTTTCCAAATCCCTTGCATGCATTTTACAGTGACATCCTGCCACGCTGCTTCAATGTTTCTGATACAATGGAGGATATTATAGTTTTTCCAAAACTCACGCAATGTCACCCTCTTCTCCTCCTCCACTGCACTGACGGCTTTGGCAAACATTGCACGTAAATAGTATGCTTTAAATATTGTGATAGCTCCCTGGTCCATAGGCTGTAAGAGAGGTGTGGTGTTTTTGGGTAGATAAACCACTTTTACATCTGGATAGATATTATGAAGATGTGGAGGATGTCCAGGTCTGTTGTCAAGGAGCAGGAGAATTTTAAAAGGAATCTTTTTTTGCAAGCAATATTCCTTTACTTGAGGTATAAAACAATTCATACACCAATCCTCAAAGAGGACTTGTGTCATCCAAGCCTTCTGGTTGGATCGGTAATAAATGGGCAGTGTGCGCTTGCATATGTTTTTGAATGCGCGATGGTTCCCCGATTTGTGGACCAGAAATGGCTTCAGCTTGAATCCGGAGACATTTCCGCCCAATAGCAAGATTACTCTCTCCTTAAATGTTTTATAACCCGGCATTGCTTTGGCCTCTTTGTGGATATAGGTCTGCTCTGGCATTTTTTTCCAGAATAACCAGGTTTCCTCCACATTGAATATCTGTTCAGGCAAATAGCTCTCCTTTGTAATAATATCATCTAGTTCATCCAGAAAACGTTTGGCAGCTTCATCAACACTTGCACCTTTACGTGACTTGCGTGTGCTGTGGTAATTAAATCTTCGCTGAAACCGCATAAACCAGCCACGGCTGGCAGTGAAGACTTCGGTGCACTCCTGACCTGCTCTTTCTTTCAGTGTTGTGAAAATGCTGCGTGCCTTTGCCTGAATGAGAGAAAGGCTAATCGGAATCCTCTTTTGGATTTGATCTTCAATCCAAAGTAGTAGTAGTTTTTCTGTTTCGTGGATGAGGCCTGTTCGATGTCTTGTTATAATGGCATCTGTTCCTGATGCTCCTTTAATTGCTTTTTTGATCCTTTCCTTATCCTTCAGAATAGTGGAGATGGTGGAATGGGCCAGCCCTTCTTCTTGTGCTATAATGTTCACCTTCTTCCCCTCGTCATGCGCTTTGATGATCTTCATTTTCAAATCAAGATTGATGGTTTTCCTTTGCTTCTTCCTTCCTTCCTTAATTGAAGTGGAGCTCTTTCTCTTTCCTTTTGAAGACATTTCCAGCCAAAATAAGAGCCAGTTGCAAAGTACTGTAGATAGATAGAGATAGAATGTTGAGAAGGATTTATCTTCAGTATTAGGATGGGGGTGGGAGGGGGTGGCAGTACTGTAGTGCAAAAATGTATTTTTCTTGTTTTCTAAAAAATTATTTCCCCTGAATGGTCACTGCTACCAGAAATGTATTCTAAATTCATTTACTATTTCATGTGTTTGTTGGTACACTCATTTTGTCCTTAATTGAATCCCTACCCAGCTCCACCTTTTTCTTACTGTATAGCACCTGAAATATTGAATCTGATTCTTGATAATTGGCAAGGTTGAACTGTGAATGTTGACTGCACATAATCCACTTGTAAAGAAAAGCCAAAGGTTCATAGGAAGCCTTAAAAATTGTTTGCAAAGTTCAGGAGTTTAGAGAATAGATAGATTAGACTCCTATAGCAATATTGCTTCACAAGTATTTTATTCTCAGGTTGGTCTCTGTCATCTGCATAATCCGGTCACTTTTCTCTCTCACACATACAGATCACTGTCACATATGGAGACAAGAGAATACACTCAGAGTAGTCCTTGCTTAATAACCACAATAGAGATCAGAGTCTTGGTCACTGAGCAAAGTGGTAATTAAGCAACAACCAAATGACTGTTACACTTAATGACTGCAATCCCAGTATCCCCGTTGTGGACATTTAAATGATCTCATAATCCTTAAGAAAATAACAAGTTTTTCTCACTGGCTGTGGAGAGATTTGGGGCTCTATGCATGCTTCAATTCAGTTGCAGAGGTTCAAGCAGACATGGAGCTGGGTGACCTTCTCTCCTTGCCTCTCTGGGGCTCTCCATGAAGGCGGGCAGACAGGGATTTTGGGCTCCACGCATGCTTGGATTTCAGCTGACAAGATCCAAGCAGGCATGAAATGGCAGGGATCTTTTTCATTCAGTCCCCAGAGACAAGAGGGAGTCATCTAGGGAGGTGGCAGCAATTTGCAACTTTTCCCACCAGCTTCTGCAGAGACCGGCAGGGAAGATTGCAAGTGGCAATCATGTTAACACAAAGCACTTGGCACCCAGTCATAAGAGTGAAGAGAACTACCTCTATATAGTCCCCTTCCAGCAGAGTTAGAACAAGGATAGTTACATTGGAAAGGGAAGAAAACTAGTTTGAGATGAGGCGAGGAGAAGAAAAGGAAAAGAAGCGAGGGGGGGGGGGGTGTCTGCTCAAGTTATTTTTTCTGAATTCAACTTTGAAAAAAACAGGATTTTTAAAGCTTTACTGCAATAATCAATTATGAAAAACTTTATTACTTCAATATATGTTGTCTTCATAGAGCTAAAAAATTGGATATCTTGACTGCACTATATATGTAGAAAGCTACCTGAACATATACAAACACATAGGCAGCCATCACTGAATACTGAGTAAAAGTAGCCCATGCTTACCAACTACCTCACGTAGCAACCTTTCAAAGTTATAATGGAGTAAGTTTCACATTATGATTTTCTATTTAGTAACCATGTTGCTTTAATTAACAACTGAAGAGGAAATAAGAGAAGCTCAAGCACCTGATTGTCCACTTAGTGACTGTTGCTGGTCAGAAGTGTGATCATTATGTGAGAATAACAATGTATAAGAGCATTCAGCCTTATGGGCTTTTTTAAAAAAAACAAGCTAGATCAAAGGCTAGAATGTTTTATTTCTTACCTTCAAAATACTTCTCTTTTATTTAGAAGAACTACAGTACAGGTAGGCCTCGGCTTAAAACAGTTCATTTAGTCATCATTCAAAGTCATGGCAGCAATGAACGAAGTGACTTATTACGGTTTTTCACACAACTGTTGTGGCATCCCCATGGTCATATGATCAAAATTCAGAAGCTTAGCAACTGACTCATATTTAAGTTAGTTGCATTATCTCGGGGTCACATGGTAACCTTTTGTTACAAGCAAAGTCAATGGGGAATCCAGATTCACATAACAACCATGTCACTAACTTAAGCAGTGTTTCACTTAACAACTGTGGCAAGAAAGGTCCTAAAAATGGGACAAAATTCACTTAACAACTGTCTCACTTAGCAACATAAATTTGGGGCTCAAATTTATGTGATTGTAAGTTGGACTACCTGTACTTACTAATACAGTATTAACTCTGCTCATCACAAGTGAAAATGCATGCTCGTTGTGAAATTTACAGTGGCCATACGTCTGAAGGATGCCAAGACCATCGTAAATGTGTGCCTTTAGAGCAGCTATTCGTTTTAGGGGCTTGGTAACTGTGAAGGGTCATTGCACGAGGCAGTTGGTAAGCAAGGCCTACCTGTATATTGTCTAGAACGATACATCAGACTCTACAGAACTGCTGCAAATGAATATATTCACGGCTGCAAAACGCGACCTATTTGTAAAATGCATTTAGTTCTACTTAACAAGCGCAGCAAGACTCTTCCGGCGTGCATCTTACGCCCCTATTTGCCAGGATCAAATCAAGAAGGTGCCTACATCAACTCCTCGGGAGAGAAAAACAAGCCAGGTCATCAGGATGTAGAAATAAATAACGCAAGCTAAGATTCCCTTTTCCGAAAAAGAAAACGTCTATGGCCCTGCTCCGCTCGCCCACTTGCAAACAAACCTTTCTACGGAATGCCAGGCATCCGCCACCCCCTTACCTGCTCTTCTCCCTGCCCTTCCTTTCCACTGCACACTCCCCTTTTAGGAAAAACGTAATCGGAGGCCACGGCAGATTCCAGCCTCCCCTTTAACATCCGCTTCTCCCTTTGCCGGAAGGGGTAATGCTGGTCGGTGATACCGGAAGCGGATGAAGCCGGAACGCTCTTCGTGCCGAGAGACGACCGCGCGCGAGGGGGGGGCCGGCCCGGGTTGGAGGGGGGGCTTTCCGGAGGGTCTCTTCGCCGGAGGCGGCAGGAGGGCGGGCGCGGGGGAGGCGCGGCGGGCCGGCTTTATGGCTCGGAGCAGAAGGAGCCGGGGCTGAACGCCCTGCCCACCCATGGAACTCGCGCCGGTGGCGGCAGCAGTCATCGCGGCGCCGGGAGAAGGCAGGACATCGGTGGAGACGCCGCCGGTTATCTACACGATGGAGAACAAGCCCATCGTTACCTGTGAGTGAGCCGACAGTGAGGCGTGCGGCCGGGGGCGACTCTGCGGCAGGGTCGTTCCGTGCATCCCCCGCCCAGGGTCATCGGCGAGGGGCGGGAACCTTTGCCTTGGGAAAGGCGGATTTTTTTATTTTTCTGCTCGGGGGAAGGGGCTCCTATGTCGGGTGTCACCGCTTAGAGGTGAGGCGTCGGGTCACCCTTGTGGGGTTGGTACCGGAGAGCCGAGGCTCGGTCCACGGGGGCAACCCTCGTCGAGGCTCTTTCTCTTCAGTGCTCGTTCCGCTATTCCGCACAGGAGGCAGTTCTTGGAGAGAGCTCTCCTTAGCGCTTACTGTGCTGGGATGTCAAACGATTCCACGCGTGTTTCTGTCACGGAAGGGACGGACCCCGCTAGAAGGATGGAGAGGTATCACGTTGGCTGTCTCCTTTGGTTCCTGGGAATCCCACACACATAAACGTGTGTGCTGAATATCCCAGTTTCACTTTTCCTCTCAAAACAAATCTAGGAAAAATGGATTTGATAGAAAGGAACGGTAGAAATCTGGGTTTGGGAAACTCGGGTGGAAAGCAAAGAATTCACTGGCCCCAGATCTCTCAGTTGTATGTATACAACTGTAGGAAATTTGCACTATCAACCCTTTTGCTATGTGGTAGTTGTTAACACAGTTGTTTATTCACAGATGAAAGTAGTAGGTTGAGGTCCTAAGAAATGACTATTTGGAGGGCTATGATACAACTATTAAAATGTAAAAAGATGGAGAGTTAAGAGCCTTTTTCACTTTTCGGTTTCAAGGTAGAGTGTCTTTATACCATCTGTTTTGCTACTGGTGGCAATTTTAAAGAACATAAGCAATGTAGATCTATTTTGAAGCAGGATAAATAATTGTCAATTTAGAAATAAATATAACAAGATGAAAAGGTTTAAGTCAAGATATGTACTATCCCTTCTATATTTCTTCAAAATAAGCAGAACAAAAATAATCTGAGCTATTGTAGGAATGGAGTATAAATACATTTCTAGCAGGTTTTCATTCATGCAGAGTATTCAGTCTTAGAATTTTAGCTCTGACGTTTTATAAGATTAGTTTGTGATATGTGTGGTGAACAATAACAACTTGCCTAATGCTAATTAGCAAATGGGTGGGGGAAACATTTTTTGATCACTGCACTAGCTTACAATATTTCTAAACTTACATTTATTGACTTCTTAGTAATAACTACTTGACAAACATTGATTGGTTACATTTGATTATGTGCATAAACATGTTTGTTTCTATTAGAGATTAGTCTGCATTTTTTCAATGTATAGTTTTAGCTTCATTCTGTTTAATAAAAGTGTACATTTCATATTTCCAATAAAAACACTAAAAGTTATAAGTGAAATTGAATTTTACTGTTGTTTGAATGTTAAGCCTTAAAACTTAGAAAAGGCTATGTTTTTTACATTGTTAAAAGTTCTTCATACATGTTATTTCAGCAATCAGTAACTCTTTAAAGTCTGCAGGGAAGAGAATGTCATTTCAGTATCTCACAACTGAGAAAGATATAGTGCATGGGTTATCTTTGATTACCTATCAGGGTTTTGTAATTCGCTCTTTCCTGGCTTCTTGTTTTTATATTTGGCCTGAACATGTCTTTTATCCCACAAATGCCTGGCAGTAAGAAAAATCCCTCCCCCCAAATCCTTAGTCCTACCCACTCAACTCTGCCTGAGGTTCATACATTGTTTTCACAGGTAATTACTGCCACAATCTCCCCCCCCCCCCCAACTGGGGGGATAGGACCAAACTGAAGAAAAGATAATACCTTCTACTTTGTACTAGTGAAAGAAAACACAATATTATTTTAAAGCCATCAACCAGAAGTCAGTTTGAAAAAGCCTAGACCATCTGAAAGAAGTGGACCATTTGGGTTGATGATTCTTAAAATAGGGAAAGGGTCCACATAATTAGGTTCCAATTTCTTTGATTTTGGGGTAGTTTGTAAGTATTTAGGAGACAGATACACTTTATCATCACTTGAAACCCTCTTAGCCCTCTTTTTATCAGCCTGTTTCTTAGGGGCTTGATGTGCCTTATCCAGCGCCTTATGCGTGATGGGCCAGGTGTGTTGCAGCTGTTCAATCCACTCCACTAAGGAGGGGATCAGAGGCTTTTCCTGAGACAATTCTGGTATGGAGATGAAATCTTGACTGGAAGCAACTTTGAACAGGGTGAAGCCAGTACTACTATGTTCTGAGTTATTATAAGAGACCTCTGAAAAGGGCAGCAGGTTGGGCCAATTTTCTTGCTGGTAATTTACATAGCACCTAAGATACTGTTCCAGAACCGAGTTGGTTCATTCACAAGCCCCGTTTGTTTGAGGGTGGTGAGCAGAGCTTAGCCCCAGGTGGAGCCTAACATTCTTAAGAATTCCCACCAAAATTGGGAAGGTGAATTGTACCCCCCTTTCCGAGATGATACGATCAGGAACTCCATGTAGCCTATACACATGTTGAATAAACAGTTTAGTTAATCCTTTAACTGTAGGTATCTTAGTGCATGGGACAAAATGCATCTGTTTAGAAAGTAAATGTGTAACAACTCAAATAAGTGTATTCTCCCCACTCTCAGGCAATTCAATTATAACATCCGTTGATATTTCCTTTGATGGGGCCTTAGGATTGGAAACACTCTATAGAAGTCCAGTAGGCTTCCCTGGGAGCCGTTTAGCTGCAGCATAGACAGGACAGCTGGGAAAATAAGTCTCAATGTCCTTTTTCAATGAAGGCCACCAAAACTGCCGCTTGATCAGGTGCAAAGTCTTCACAAAACCAAAATGGCCGGCAGTTTTTTTTCTGAGCCATGGTAATCACAGGAATGGCCAGCTGCTTAGAAAGGATGACTGGTCGGATTACTTCAGGCCTAACACTGTTATATTGAGGTAATCTGGACAAAGCATCAGGCATAAAGTTCTTTCCCCCAGGAATGTAGCGCAGTGCAAAATTAAACTGGTTAAAGTCTTGTGCCCAACAGACTTGCTTAGGTGAGAATTTTCATGGCATTTTCAAAGCCTCCAGGTTTTTGTGATCTGTCCACACCTCAAAAGGCTGCTTTGCCCCTTTTAGGAAATGCCTCCAAGTTAATAGTGCCCATCACACAGCAAAGGCTTCCTTCTCCCAAATTGCCCACCTCCTTTTGGTCTCAGTTAATTTTCTGGAGGTGTAAGGTCTGAGTTGTAAGGCCCCCTTTGGCATTTGCCTGCAACAGCATGGTTCCCAGAGCCACATCACTAGTATCAGCCTAGATCACAAACAGGCATCGGTGTTGGGGTGTTTAAATATAGGTTCAGGTGCACTCGCCATAAGATGTATTTGTAAATATGTCACCAATATTGATTACAAACAAGGAACCATAGACTGTCGATAATAGAATTGCTAGGGGTTTTTTTTAATCGTTTTTTTTTTCTTTTTCTTTCTGTGTGTTGTGAATGCGTTTGTTTGACATTTTAGTTGTATAATCAATAAAGTTGATTATAAAAAAGTTTTTTTAAAAAATAAATATGGGTTCAGGTGCAAACAGCCACTTGTGCTTTTCAAAGGCAGCGTGGCATTCCATTGTCCACTCAAGGGGTTGGCTGAGCTTAGGCTTGTTTTCTCACTTAGTTTTCAAAACATTAGTGAGCAATGCAATCTTAGCAAAGGAAGAGATGAATTGCCTACAGCAGAGGTCTCCATACTTGGCAATTTCAAGACTTGTGGACTTCAACTCCCAAAATTCCTCAGCCAGCCTAAAAGGTCCGTAAAGGGGCCATGAATAAGCGCACCAGTGTGCCTACCATCCCTCTCTTACTGTCCTCATTTATCTGTATTTACTTCCTTTGTTCATGTTTATGTTCATATCTATACTTGTTATCTTGTACATGTTCGACAAACAAAATAAAAAAGAATAAAATTGCAGTTTCCTGGTTTTTGCAAATTTTTATAGCGCTCTCAATGCTAGAACCTGGGGGGGAGGGATTTGGTGTGACTTTCAATGTGTAACTTGCATGCATCTTTCAGATCTTGCCTAATGTCAGGCCTGCCTCTGTTCAAACCCTAAGA